TATGAGTCGGGACCGACTCGATGGCACATAACAACAACACAACATGCACATTATATGCATGAGTGCATTATTTATGTGGGTGTGTTATATGGGAAAATATGGTACATATACTATACCATAGACCATATGGCTTCTTTATGTAAATTAGAACCCCCTCTTAATTAGTATACTTAAGATGCTTAAGATACTTTACTGCCATCTTCCAGAAAAAATCATTGTGAATGGTATCTCCTTAGCTGTGCAACCCTTGTGCAGTGCACAACCTACCCAATCGTATGTAGCGTACATAGCAGCAAAGATACGTTGTTTGCTCGTATGGAGCTCATATTCTACCAGAAGAGACAAATAATAAACAAATAAGTGAACAAATCTCTAAATATAAACAATGTAAGTGCAAAGAAGGAAACAAAGTATTGAGATAGAGAATTAGAGGTGAATGCATTTAGGTTGAGTTGTCAGGGAAGGCACCTCTGAGGAGGTGATATTTAAGCTCAGACCTGAAAGATGAGAGGGAATTAGCCATCAAAAGATCTTGGAGGAAGAGCATTCTAGGCATAAAAGGAATGTCAAAGGCCATAGGCAGAGAAGAGCTGGAGTACTGAAGGAGCCAAATGATCAGTGTGATTGGAATATAGTGGTCATGGTCCAAACTGGCATGAGCTGAGGCTAGAGAGATGACTAAAAGTCATATCACACAGAGCCTTGTATTCCATAGGAAGGAGCTTGGGTTTCAGTTTGTAAGTGCAATGGGAAGCTATTGGAAGGTTGTGAGCATGGTAAAATCCCATTTATGTCTTAAAAGATCTCACTGGCTATTATGTCCAAACTAGAATAAACAGAGGCAGCAATGTAAGTGGAGGGACCAAGAAGGTTAGTATAGTAACTTGTGAAGTGAGACAGGATGGGTTCTTGGTCTGGTAATGCAGTGTAGGGGACTGGTCAAGAGTGGATCTTCTGGAGCCAAACTGCCTCAGTTCCAATCCCAACACTACTACTTTCCAGCTGGATGTCCGTGAGCAACTTACTTGACCTTTCAAGTAAATCTGTAAAGTGAGGATAATATTAGCACCTACTTCAGAGATGGTTATGAAGTTTATATTAGATTATGCAGGGACAGGATTTAGCAGAGTGTCTTACATGTTGTTGTTGCTGTTTGCCATCAAGTCAGACCCGAGTCATAGCGACCCCTCCTTGGGTTTCCGAGGCGGTATCACTACGGAAGTAGATTGCCCAACCTTTCTTCCGAGGAGCGTCTTACATAGTGAGACTCAATAAAGAAAAATGGACAAATTTGAAACATATTTAGATCATTGGTTCTCAACTATAGAGGCACATAGCAGATTTATACTCAGACCAGGAGTGGGAGGGGATCTCAATGTGCAGCCAAGTGTGAGAACCACTGAGTTAGACGAAAAAAATTATGGAATTTGCTTGGCTATCCAAAAAGATAGCCTCAACTCTGTTAAAACTCTGCTCAAAAGTTTTTGTGCTAACATGTATTTTATTTACTATATCTACACACAGTTTTAAACACTTTACTTATATAAACTCATTTGATTCCAATGCAATCTTATGTGGCAAAAACCCATTGCCATCGAGTCATTTCCAACTCATAGTGAACTGATAGGACAGAGTAGAACTGCCCCATAGGCATTCGAAGGCAGTAATCTTTACGGAAGCAGCCTGACTCATCTTTCTCCTGTGGAGCAGCTAGTGGGTTAGCAGCTGAGTGCTTTAACCACTGCATCACCAGAACTCCTTTCCTATGTGGTAAGTACTATTATTATCCCCATTTTATGGATAAGGAAACTGAAACGGAGAGAGGCTAAGAACTTAGTTCAAGGTCATGTAACTAGTGAATTGAGGAGCCAGAATTCGAATCTGAGCAGCCTGTTTTCCAACTCCAGGCTCTTAACCACTCAAAGGGAT